TAAGAACCGCCCCAGATGTTGTCTCCCTGGTAGGGAAACCCCACTGTGTCAGTGGCACTGTGACCTGTGGGGCTGGCTTTGGCTCCGGGTTTCTCTATGCTTCGCTGGGTGGAAGGCTCCCAAAAAGCAGTTCAAACATCCTGTAAATAACCATCAAACAAATAAATCTGCCTTACTGGCTAGCACTGTATTTTTTCTTCTCTTTCTCTTTTCAGTGTTATTAGGAAGTAAAATGTGAATTAGTCTTGTAAGCCAGCATTAATGTGACCTCCATCATCAGTTTCAGTCACTCAGACTACTAAGGTTGTCTTTTAGGCTGATTCTTGTGCTAGAGATGAGAAAGTTACACAATGGACATTAGAGAATCACTTTAAAAACCCTCCACAATCCTGCATTGAAATCCCATCCAGTAAGGGAGAGAACCAGCCCTCGCCTGGCTGAGATGCAGTCACATGAGTGTCCAAAACAATGAACACACAGTGTCGACAGCTGAGGCCATTGAACTTTATGTCACTTCCCAACTGCAGCATTACTCATAATTTATGGCTATACTCGCCTTTCAACCTTTTAAACCTTTTCCCAAGTATTTGCAGCATTCTCACATAAATATTGCTACAATAAGTAACATCAACATTTAGTAGCTGTTTTTCAAGAATAACCGTGTGACACGATTACGGCATTCCATTAAACCAGCTGCAATGTGGGGAAGGTCTAAATCAAATCCTGTCCACTAAAGATAATGTTTACACTTATGCAAGGAACAATGGGTGGGAAAAGTTTATTTTGTGTTTCAAGACTTAAATGTCAGTTTTGTCTCCTTTCCTGGTTATGCAAGGTGTCTCTCTCTGGTGAAATGACTCGGAGTGGACACAGACAGCAGCTTACATTCCAGTGCTATTTATTACTTTCTCAAGAAAAGTTACAATTATGAAATCTATGGTTTGGTTTATTTATTTTTTTTAGGGAGAAAACCTTATTTCAAAGGAACAGTGAATGTTGTCTTTTCGTTAAAGCTATCAAATGTTGTGAAATGATTAGTTAGAAATTCCTTGCCAGAGTTGTTCACTGTCCAAAATGCATTGCAATGTCTAAATGTAAATGACAGATAGTTAGCTCGCATATAGATACGTGCTTAATTGCCTTCATCCCTCCTGTCTGAGGAATGCACTTAAGCATATGCTCATTAAAACACATATGCTTAATTTCTGTTTAGGTCAACAGGATTTGAGCACGTGCTTAAACATAAGCAAATGCTTAAGTGCTTCTCTTGAATAGGGATGCTTTTCTGGGGCAAAGCCAAAGAAATACTCTTTCGTAGTATTTCTTCTTCTAGCCTGCCTCTTGCTCCAGCTGCACTGTGGGAGCACTCCTTCTTCATAAAAACCAGCTTACCCTCTCTCCTCATCTCCCCCAGGGCTGGTGTCAGACACACACAGACCCCATCATTCTGCCAGCTAACCTGGTACATTGACACCGGCAGAACTGCCCGTGGTGGAGAGAGAGGAAGGGGAGAGGGGCAGAGATCTGTGGAGGAGGAGGAGAAGGGCAGCTACACTGAGGAATACGCAGCCTTCCCCGAGTAGGGCAAACGTTGCATATGCATGAGCCTGCTGAGAGGGCGAGAGAAGTCAGCAGCACCTCACTTGCACCCAGCCTGCCACCCTGCAGGTGCAGGGAACGGGTGCAGTGTCTGTGTGACACTGTTCCCACGTGGCCCCGGGGGAGCATCACGCTGCAGCTTGTCCCTCTGCATCCAGCAGAGCTGAATGGTTTTACACATCTTTGCTATAAGTTTTGCCTTCATCCTGCACCGTCCCCGTGCCAGCCTTCTTGTCTTACCTTGGGCTGTGGCAGTGGCTGGTTTAGATAGAGCGCCTCTGCTTGGAGGTGTATGTGGGTGCTTCGTTGCCGACACCCGAGGCTTAGCTGTGTAGCTGTGTGGGTTCCCTGTGGGAGAAACATCAAGCTCATGGCAGTGTCAAAACCTTCGCAGCAGAGTGATGCAGGGCTTGATTTCTGCTCTCTGTTGGGCTGCAGAGCCTGCCCAGCTGCTGCAGCAGGTGACCTCTGGCTGGGCGGTGTAACCCCTGCACAAACATGTGCTTGCGAGAGAGCCAGCAGTGTTCAGGGTTGTTTTCAGATGCACTTTGGAGCTGTATCTGTTGTGCATTATCAGTTTAATTAAGATAAAGGTGTGGAGTTTATGCCATATTCCCATAAATGACAGGGTAGGGATATAAATGATTTATATGGCATTAATTGTACTTGCAAAGCTTAGGTCTGTCGATACACATTAATAAAACCATCATTTGAATCCAAGTTAGGGAACAAAAGCACAAAATTTACTTTTTTTTTCTTTAACAACTTTCCAAAATTCCACTGTTTGCAAAAAACCAACATGCAATGGGCAAAATGTTGTAAGGGGCAGAAGCTGGATCACCTGGGCAATAATTAATAAAAAAAATCCAAAGGCAACTTTGGGGAGTGAATTTGATTCAGTGAAAGAAGACTGGCTCCTCTCCCTGCCCTGCAGGTAATGTGTTAGCCTGTGACGGCAGCAGATTATTTGTTCTTTTTTTTTTTCCCCTGCCACTGAACTAAAGAATGCATTGTGGGAAAACCGTCCTGACACATGACACTGTGCAAAGGAGGATCACAGCGTGAGGCAGCATCAAGGGGCTTACTTGGTCTTGATGCACTCTTGCACAGCATGGGGCTCCAGAGATGAGTGTCTCTTCCAACGAAAGCACTGGTGCAATTTGCACAACTCTCATGAGAGCGCACAGTGAAGCTGCTCTCAAAGCCCTCATGTAAACAGGGCTAGAGAAAGAAAAGGGAGAGTAAAAGAGCCTGCACCATCCACGGGAAAACACAAAAGGAGATGGTTCAAAAGAGGCTGAGCTAAGGAGGAGGGGAGTTGTGAGGGAAGTGGGGATGGGGGGGGGGAAGGGGCAGAAAATTAAATCCAAATATTAGAGCAGAAGGGAAAGTCTTAGCAATGTAATGAAACAGTTAGCACTACTGTGATGGAAGTGGTCAGGAGAAGTGAAGTATGGGAAGACACTGGATGGCAATGCGCAACTAGAGATTCAGCTTTCAAGGCAAAACCATAGCTGAGATGTGCTCTGAAGACTGTTCCTCAGATATGCAGCCCTTAACTTTTTCAAAACCTCCTAAGTTCAGATAATAAGTTTGCATAAAGAGAGAGATGGAGGGGAAGAAAAAAAATAAAGGCGGCTGTAAGTGCTCCTCGCTAGCCTGTCTCTGAGCAACAGGCCCTCCTGTACTCACTCTCCCTTGTTGCTCCTGCTTATCATAATATGCCACTTTTGTGCATCAAATTTACATTTCAAAAAATGCTGTATCGCTGCTCTAAAATTAATTATTAATCTTTCATCAGTCCCTTCCATAGATACATTTTTAACTTTGATTTTGCTACCCGTTAGGGGGAGGGATGGGAGAAGGGGGCGGGGGAGAGAAAATCCTTTAATCTTGTCACTTTTCTGTGGGATTCTCCTCTCGTGTGCTGCTACTTCCAGCCCTGCATGTCCCCTAAGCGCTCTGGAGGTACAACTTTAGTTTTTATGCTTGTTCAGAAAAGAATCTTCCCACACTTTTGAGAGCATGAAAATTTTCACCCTGCAGGATGTAAAACAGAGAAGCGCCTGCTCCTCTTGTTTGACCTGGCATTTCAGCCTCGGTAAGATGAACTTGTACTGATAAATTGAGCCCCAGGCTAAATAGCTGTGTGGATTATATGCCAATGCAAGGGAAAAAGATCTGTGTGGGATTTATAGGGCCTGTCTAGAGTGCAATATGCTTTTATTCATCAATCAGTTCATCACAATGACTTATAGGCAACGGTCTGAATATTGGCTATTTACAGTTAAAGGTAAGCAAGTACTGGAATTGCAGCCATTGCTATTCATCTATCGAAGACTTCTCTTGCCTGAAGTGTAAAAGAAAGAGGAGCAAGGAGAAAACCATGTGTGTCAGATGGACACTGGAGAAATATGAGCTGCTGGCAAACTTCATACTTGTCCTACCCCTGGTCTGGCATTGTGTCAAATGCTATAATTTGCTTGATGGAGTGGGAAAGGGCTCATACGAGATGTAGTTATGATGAGATGCTGTTATGGATTACGGAACAAACATTTTGCTTTTTACTTCTCTGCTGCAAACTTATTGATCAGTGGCTTCATAGACAGATGCACATGTGTGTAAATGTCCACACGCACGCGCACACACACACACACACACGTGTGTGTGCGTGTGTAGTCAGCCCCCTCCACCAGAAACCTGCCCTCTGGACATTCATGAAACTGAAGTGCTGCGTGTAGGCTGCTTCCTTGAATTAAGGTGGAAAGGCTTGCTGTACCCCATCACATTCAGTGCATTTTGCTCAAAAGCGACAAAAAAAATCACATTGGAAGACAGATGTCAACTCAACATGGTGTCTAGTTAAAGGCCAAGTTCTCCCAGTTATAAACAATACTTTACATTGCACTTTTTATCTTTCTATTCACATGTACAGTATAAGGAATGAGTACTCTTCTCAGAAGCTCTCTTGCTGTTAGTTGCTGAGTATATGTGTGGATGAATGTCTCTCAGGATTTTGGACATAATCAGAGGTGAATTTGGACCAATAGACTATCACTTACTAGAAAATCAGATAAAGTACAGGGGAATCAGAAAGCTGAAAACACAGAGCAAAACATACCAGGCTTGTTTTCCAGACCCACATCTCCTTTATGTTTCTTCCCCAAATTGTACTTGCCCAGGTTATAAGTGGTCATTCCCTCCACGCTGTGCCTCAGTTATGCAGACCTCTCAGATAAAAACCTGCAGTGCCAACCAGCAGATCCACTTTGAAGGCTGCATGCTGTAGCACTCTCACCTGGGCTATACTTCACCAGTAATAAATTAGCATTCACACAGATGCAGCCAATAGCTCTCACAGCACACCTCTACATAAACATTATCCTCTCTGTCTTTTGCAGGTAGGGAAACCCAGCCAACAAAGTTGCTGGAGGTGAAGAGGGAGTTAGCAGCAGTTCTGGATCAAATCTGAAGCCTTGCTCAATCACATCTTTCTTCTCCATCTTCCAGACAGCAATCTGAATACAGCCGTTTGTCTCCTCTCTGTGATTTATTCTATGTAACAACACTGATTCTTTTTCAAAGCAGACTCTGACTTCAGTTTGTTGACACTAGTTGCGCATATATGTGTAATGATGTAGGATTATCAGTGTGCTACAGAAGGCCCACTTTTTATATCATACTTCTACAAACCACTGGCAATGAAGTGCCATGATTCTCCTTGCACATTCTCGTTTCGGGGATGCAAAGAGAAAACAAGTAACTGTAAGCATAACTCTTGTTTCATACAAATAAACAGTGCTTATGTGGATGTGTGACAGATGTTACACCTTGTTGAGTGCCTTGAATTCCTTATAACCAAAAAAAAGTGAGATCACGTCAGCTTCAGAGTAAGTGAGGTTTCAGCAGGAATGGAGCTCGTCCAAAAATCCAATATTGGCCTTGGGAAATGTCCCTTTTCGTCCACAAAAGAGCTGAATAATGTTCACAGCTGAAAATCCTAAGGGTTCTTAATCATGCACAGTCTCTCCTCAATCAAAATACATGCTCCGCTTTTTAGTGAGTTACCTTCTCCCCTGCCAAGCCTGCCAGCCTAGCAAAGTGAAGTCATCACAAAACCCCTGGACCAAAATAGAGGTGTGGAAGTCATGGCAGCAGGATGTTTGGGTGCAATCAACTTAGGAAAGTCAGAGGCATAGGGGCAAGCTCTTGGAAGTTGGGATGCAAAGTTGCAGCATGCCTCTCTTCTCAGTGACTACAAAGGTGCACTCCCAGCCAAGTGTTTCCTCCCCAATGGACATTGGATATCTTACATGAAAGTCCAGCATATTATTTAGGAGATTTCTGTGTGGAAGTAATTTCAATATAGCTGACAGATTGCAAGCTTGCATCCGAGCTGATAAGGTCAGCATCTTCTTTGGCTCACACACTTGCCAAGCTATTTGTAAAGGTGGGCCCATACACTGAGGTTAAAAGAATGTATTAATTAGAGGGCCAAATCTTAACGCCTGGGGATGAAAGAGCCCTTATGTGTCAAACTCACATGCCCCCTTTGGTGCAATCAGCCTTGGCAAATGACATCCTGTTGGATTTAAAGGGATCCAAAAGTGTATACAAATTCCTTGCATCTAACTCTCCTTCCAAGCTTGGGACTAAGGTCATTATTGCAGGGCAGCAGCACTGGAAAAGGCCTATGGTCTTTGCCCTCTTCCTATAAGCATTTTTTGGATCAAGTTTTTTTTTTTTTTTTGCGTGTTTTGTTTGTTTGTTTCTTGGTTTTGTGGTGTGGGTTTTTTTTGTTTTGTTTTGTTTGGTTGGTTGGTTGGGTTTTTTGGGTTTGTTTTTTAATTCCCCCATGGAGAAGCAGGAAGAGGAAATGGTCCTTAATTTTGAAATTTCTTCCTGTAGGAGAGTTACTGGATGGTTGGAGAAAAGCAGGAAAGGTATCAAAGATATTTCACATCTATACAGCCCAAACAAGCTAAAGTTCAGCTCTCTGCATCCCATTCCTCTCTCAATTTGGACCCCGTTTGCTACATGCTGCAGAAAAAACTGCAGTGAGTCCAACAGGTGGAACACTTTCCTGACCATTGTGGAGCTGCTACGGGCTCCCTCCCCTGTGTAAGGGACTGTCTGCCAATGCTGGTGGACTTGGTCCTGTGAGTGCCCTGTGGGGCTGTACTACAGGGCTGCAGCCTGCAGAGAACCTTGGGGGTTCATGGACTGCCTCTGTCTCTGAGTGGAGTGGAGATAAGGAGTGGTTACAGGAGTAGTCTTTCCTCTGGTTCATCTCCTGGCAGGAGACAGGATGGGGTCATGAAGGACTTGTAAGACTGCAGATCTGCTCCAACACCTCTGGCATTAGAGTTTTCTAATTTAGACAAGATGAATATTTTGTTGTGACTGACAATTTGTTTGTTGACAACTCCCTCTTTTTAAAAAATACACTTTATAATAAATTAAAATGTTCTGCAACGAAGAAAAGAATGTGAGAGTTGAAGAAAACTATCAGAGCATCAAAAGAAAAAAAAATAATATTAATTTGGTGAAATGAACCAAAATGAGGAAGGGGGCAGGACAGAACAAGAAGGAGAGATCAAAAATAGATTGATTCCAAAGTGTTTCTAAACATTTTGTTTGATGATGCATATACCTCTTGCCCACACAGGCTTGAAGAAGACTATTTTGTAATTCAGGCACAGACGTACCCTGTGGGTTGGGAAGCAATGTGCTTTGGTGAATGGGAAGTAGGTGGAAAGGTGGGCACTCCTCCATGCTGAGTGCTTCTGTGCTTAGACTCTGATGATTGAGCCTAAGACCTGGAGCAGCTTCCTTCCACCAGTCACCCATTCTGAACGCGAAAGAAGGGCGGTAGCAAGCTGCTTGACTTTGAAACCCTCTGCTTCCACCAGGAATGAATCAGGTCCAGTGGGATTCATCTCTGAGGATGGGCTAAACCTCCATCCGGAGATACCTGTCTGCCTCCACTCTTTGTAAAAAGAAGTCAGAAAATAAATCTTGAGAAAGCTAAAAGAAGGTGAGATAAAGACTCTTCCCCATAGTCTGAGGAAGACTTAACACCTGGAGCACAGTAAATGAGTATAAACCTGCTGTAGTCAGATTAAGTCCCTTTGTTCTGGCAGCCACGTGTGGAGGCAGAAGGAGGAGCAGACAGGTAGGCTTGCAGGGGCTCCGCAGAACCCCCTGGACAGAGGTGACTGTGTACAGGCCTCCAGAGTGCATTAAAAACACAAGGGTGGTAAGAAACACATTCTCAACAGGGTAGCAGTTCCATTGCTACTCTAGGAGTAGTCTGGATGTCTTTGCTGGAGGGTCTAAAAGAGGAACTTGAAGTCCTCAGGGAAAATGTGGACAGTATCCACCACCGGAGTCAGACCTACATGCTGGTAACTGTGGAAAGCCCTTTGTGTGTTGGTATCTTCATGTTAACAGTTATCTATGAGAGATCTAAGTAGGTACCATCAAGCATGGCTGTGCTAGATATATATTCCACCATTAGGGAGTAGAGAAACAGCAAAGGCAGAGCAGTTAGTCTTAGCACTGTATTGCACCATTAGCACTGTTAGCTGGGAACATCAACAAGGAATAAAAAGAGAGGTGCCTGCTCCATGTGCCAGCACTGGCAAGGGAAGAGTAAAATGTCATCTAATAAGGACATCTCATTTCTACTGAACAGCCCAGCAGGAGTATGCTGACAATTAGGAAAGAAAATATAATTTAAATTGCCCAAAATCATACGAAATAAAGCCTGAGACCAAGTGGAACTTGCTGAGACACAGGACAACATTTCTCTATGTAGGCCACTGCCACCTCCAGACTGTTTTGCTTTCTCCTGATACATGAGGCCAATCTGTCTGTTTGCTTTTCAAAAAAAAAAAAAAGTGTGTGGAATGACTTGGCCAATAGCTGTGAAACAATATTTAACTGTTGGCAAAAGCAGCTTCTATTTACTCTGGTAACTGTATTTTCATACACTGTATTTTTCTGCTTTTGTATTTTGAGCAAGTAATCTCCCTGAGGGGTCACAATTCTCACCTGCTTGAGCTCTCAAGTCCACTGCACCGGCACACGGTGTGGAGACAGTTGCCCTTGTGAACTGTTGGATTAAACTACACTACCACTTTTTTTCCTGCAGAATAAACCTGTCTTGTTCTCTTTTGTCCCTGCTCTACCATGACACATTTGTGCTAACTGTATTATTTCAGTGGTCTCAGGAGTCCTTTGGAAAACAAGAAGCGCCAATGTTAGTGGGACAAAGGCACTTACTCTTTATTGGCCAGTATTTTCCATGGCCATGATACTAAAGCTGAACAAATAGGCTAGCCCTAAATGAACACAAATGCACAATTGGCACCTTAGAGCTGCTAGCCTTGGTTCTGCCTTGAGCAGGAGGCAAGGGGAGGCTTGCAGGGTCTCCCCACATGCAACGAGCAGCCAGTTCCTCTGCATCCCAGGGAAAGCCCATAGGTTTCAGAAGGGCCCTCATTGGTGAACAAGCACAGCCTCTGCATACCACATGGATCAAGGCCTTTACACTGGAAATGGGTGATCCCACGTGGACTATTCCTCTCCCTGTACCTCACAAACACTTCCTGTGAGATGGACCCTCCTGCGGCCTTTGAAACCAGCAGATGAACAGTATGGTGTAGGTGTTCACATACAAAAGATTATGTGAGGAACACAGCTCCCTGGCACAAGGCTTCCTTTCAGCTATGTCAGGAAAGGAATATGAAGAATCCCCATTTTCCTTCAGTACTACACTTAACGAGAACTAATACTTAATTCCTATATAACACTTCTCAGACACCAAAATGTTTTGCAAAGGAGATCAGTGTCAGATGAGAGAGAGGAAGCAAAACCAATGCCATCACCAGGGTCACTGAAGTCTCCTGTTTCAGCTCTAACTATTAGATCCTGGTGCTTAAACAGGCAGGAGGACTACTCCAAGACCATAGGGGACCTGGTGCTCTTTTAGGCCTTCTTTCAGCTGCTCCAAATAGCCCTAGACTGTGCCAAGTACATGGAACTGGGAAATGATGGGAACACTGCCACTACTAAGTGTAAGGGCATAGAAGCTTTACAGGAACACACAAATACTTAATTCTCTTTAGCATCATATAATCATCTATATATTTATTCCCTAACCACTCTTATCCAGAGAACATCATTCTTACCCTTCTATGCATGAGAAATGTCAGCTTTCTCACCTCCAGAAAGGCTAGTGATGTAGGCACAGTCTGGAAAGAGGCTTGTACTCGCTCCCCCATAGCCCAGGCAAGCAGCTGTCCTCTCTCCAGCCCTTCCTGCCTAACAGTGTAAGCAAACCCATGCACAGCTGCCTGCACAGAAGCTCTCAGCATCTATAGAGCAGGCATCACTATTTGCTCCTTAAAGTAGTCATAGAAAGCTAATTAGAATGGCAAGTAAAGTGTACTAAAGGGAAGAAAAAAGAAGATAAAGGACTGAAAATAGGGTTTCATTTGGCCATACAAATAGACAAAGAGGTAAAACTTGGATAGCAGCAGAGGAGTTTGAAACAGCTTTTGGTGCATTCGATCTATTACCTCTTCATTCCTGGTGGAAAAGATCACACATATCATCTTACAGTGTTTATTGTTCTCAGTAAAGATCTGCACCAATGGACCTCTCACACTGGCTTCATACTCCATTGTATTGTCTTCCTGTTAACACTTATCAGCTGAAACAACATCATAGCAACACAGAGTCCAGAAGAGTGTATTTTACAATGCCACTAGAAGATTTACAGAAGGGAAGGGATCTACAGAATAAGGTGAATTTCCCCAAA